CTATTGGAGTCTTTTTTTTTTTTTTATTTGCATTCACTCCCAACAAGGCTGCAAGCAACCACTATTAAGGTAGGGGTTACTAGGAAAAAAAAAGAACAGAGTTATAGAGCAAGGAAACGGTTGACAGAAGACTTGAAAAGTTGAAGGTTGTATGAGTCAGGAAAACATGAAGATGGGAGAGAGTTCCAAAGGATTGAAGTGCGGAGAAAAAAACTAGATAAATAAAAGTTTTTAGAGCATGCAGGGACAGATACAGTAAACGAATGAGACTTAGCTGAATGACGAGTAAAACGAGAATGAATTTTAGTTGATGGAACTAGAGATGATAACTCCTTTGAGCAGTGACCATGATAGTATTTGTAGAAAAGAGAAAGGGATGCAACTTTACGACGATGGGAAAGAGGCTCAAGCTTAGCAGATAGTCCAGGTCCAACAACATTTACAATGCGTTTTTGGACCTTGTCAAGAAGAGAAAGTGAATCGTTAGAAGAACCAGCCCAAATATGACAACAGTATTCCATACAGGGACAAATAAGAGATTTGTAGAGGCAGAGAACGAAATCAGAAGTAAGCGAATGGCAAGCACGATAAAGAGAAGCAACCTTAGCAGAAGCTAATTTAGCAATCGATTGTATATATGGTTTCTATGAAAGGTCAGTAGTAAGCGATAATCCAAGAAGACGTAAAGAGGAGGACTCAGTAAGAGGATTGCCATTCATTAATATAGGAATGTTGACCATATTACGGTAGTTGTTTGCAGTAAGCAATTGGGTTTTTTTAGAGTTGAAATTCACAAGCCACTGTGAACCCCAATCTATTACTGAAGTGAGATCAGATTCAAGATCAGCTGCTTGTTCTAGGCGATCGAAAAGAGAAGACTTTTTGTCAAGACAGGAGTATAAAGTTGAGTCATCAGCAAAAAGAGCTACTTTAGATGAAAGGTTGTCAGGAAGATCGTTTATGTAGATAAGAAACAAAACAGGGCCCAGGATGGAACCTTGGGGAACCCCAGAAGTTACTGGAAATAAAGAAGAGTGTTGGCCTTCAAGGATGACTTTAATAAACCGGTTAGAAAGAAATGATTTGATAATCTCAAAAATTTTCCCAGAAACACCATATGAAGCAAGCTTATGGAGAAGACCAGCATGCCAAACTTTGTCGAAAGCTTTAGATAGGTCAAGAGCAATAGCCCTAGCCTCACTGCCTCCATCTAATGCATGATAAAATCTTTCAGTTACAGCAGTTAGCAAGTCGGCCGTAGAGCGAGAGGATCAAAAACCGTATTGATTGTCTGACAGCAGTTTATTTGACTCAAGATGAGATGTGAGGAATTTGTTGATCAAAGACTCAAAGATCTTGCTAATAACAGAAAGAAGACTGATCGGACGTTTATTGGAGGGGTCAGAATTTTCTCCAGAGTTTTTGAATATTGGAACCACAGATGCCATTTTCCAACAAGCAGGAAAACAAGACTCAATCAAACACTTGTTAAATAGTTTAGTGAGAATTGAAGAAAATTCTGGAGAGCAGTTCCGCAAGACTGTGACAGGAATGTTGTCTGGACCACAAGCTGTAGACAAGTTTAATTGAGATATGACTTTAGCAACAGTAGCCAGAGTGATTGGAATGTCTAACAATGGGTCAACTTGTTTGACTGGAATGGAAGGAAGAGAATGTCCATAAGATTCAAGAGTGGAATTAGAAAAAAAGTTCTTTGCAAATAGTTCTGCCTTATCCTTGGGAGAGGTAATAAGATCAGTCCCATGAATTTGAGATGGAATGTTAGATCTACCCTTGTTAATAATGCTGTTAAAGATTTTCCAAAAGTCTTTAGAGCCTAATTTCTGTGATAAGATGACTTTACGAATTAAAGGAAGATAGCCATCAACACTAAGATCACAAGATGAGACAGCTGAACTCAAATTAGTCTCACAAAGAGCAAGTAGGTCTGGGTGAACTTTGCAAGAGATGAGACTAAACAGAAGAAAAGTTACTTTGAAGACCACGAATATTAGTGAATGATAGGTTTAGCGAACTTGGTGATGGCAGTGGTTTTTAGTGTTTTATAGTTTTTATTACGTTATTCATTTTTAAATTTGTTAAAGAACTTGACTCGAGACATAGATAATACTCAATACACTGTTTAATAGCCCAAGCAAGTGCCTCATTACTAATTATAAACTCTAAGCTGTAACAAAGGACTCCAACCTTGCCTTGGCAATGCACATAAAAAATACAAACAGGGACACCATCCATGCGCAACATAACCATGTTAGTATTTTGATTTTTTTTAGCTGTTGATGGAATCAGCCTCTCTGAGAGCTACCACAGAGTTTGGGAAACCTGACTACCAGCCGGCCTCAGAACGTTTTTATGACTAGGCAACTCAAATGAGTTGCCTAGTCATAAAAACGGACACAAGCAAAATCCATGCATTGAATCAAGAAGATCCAGCATTCAGCATCCTAAACTAGAAACAATGTATTGAAAATACATCTTCGCCAGCTTAATAGACGAGGAAGGGGTGCGAGGCTGTTCAATAGATAGAATCTGTTTACAAGACAGCAGCCGGATGCATTTAACATCTGCCCAAGATGAGTATTTTTATGGAGACACCATCTCTTTTACTCAACCAAGAGCCCTAAGGCAGGGGGTTTTTTATGTTTTTTATGCGTCTCTTATGCCATCTACTAAAATTCATTCTCGTGTTACTCGTCATTCAATTAAGTCTCATCCTTTTTCTGTTACTGTTCCTAAGTGCTCCAAAAACTCTTACTCGTCTAGTTTTTTTCCTCGAACATCATTTCTTTGGAATTCGCTTCCTTCATCTTGCTTTCCTGATTCACATAATTTGCAATCTTTTAAGTCGTCTGTCAATTGTTATCTTGCTCTACAATCTTCATCTTTTTTTTTACTTCCAGTAACTTCCAACACTTATTAATGGTTGCTTGCAGCCTTGTTGGAAGCAAAGATAATTAAAATAATAAAGATTATAAACAATTTATAGATAAATTTTATCAGTTACCAATAAGATATTTGTAAATATAATTTAGAGAGACATGTTTTATGTGAAGAATTAGTAAGCAGATGATTAGAAAGAAACATCTTTAATAAAAATTGCAAACCTATTATACATACATTATAAACTAAATTTTTCATTCAACATTTTACATTCCTTCAAAACTAAATTTAAATTTTTTAAATCATATTTAATTTAAAGTCTTTTAAAGTTAAATTTTTTTTTACAAAACTATTTTTTCTATTATACCTATAATTTTCTGAATAAATGTCACAAATGATCGAAGTTAAAAGATAATTTAAATATTCCAATATTCCATTTCAGTTAATTAAAAAAAAGTTTTTAATTAACTGAAATGCTTTCGACATTTAAATTTTATTAAAAAGTTTTTGCTCAAGTAAATGCTTTTGACATTTGCAAAAAAAGCAAGCTGTGTAGCGCTTCTTAACAAAGCCTGCCAAAGTAATTTTTTTTTTTTTTTTGGCAAATTTAATTCTATTACTTTATCTCTAAATCCTTAAATAAAAATTGTAAAAAAATAAAGATAAAATATTATTGTTTAAACCATATAATTTTTTAGTTTTTATTTAAGAAGTATTTTATTAAATATGCTTAAACGCTCATAAGATTTACATATGCTCTTATAATTCTATTGTTCTAATAAAAGTTAATAATAGAAAATGTGGAAAGCAAACTTTGACACTGTGACTTTAAAAAGAACTTTTAATATTATTTTAGATAGTTACTTTTCTTTTTATAGAATTCTTGAGTTTTTAAAAAAAAAAAAAAACTGCTGATAAAAATCAATAGACCCTTTTTTGGGCGACTTAATTGCATCAAAGGAATATTTTTAGTCGCCCTTCGTCTAGTACTGTCGGGTCACCATGTATATATATATATATATATATATATATATATATATATATATATATATATATATATATATATATATATATATATATATATATATATATATATATTTATATATATATATATATATATATATATATATATATTTATATATATGTATATATATATTTATATATATGTATATATATATTTATATATATGTATATATATTGCGTAGTTGCAAAACGAAATCATATCAAAGTGCCGCCACGAAAACATGTTTTTATTAAAAAACTACAAAGCTCGCTACAAACATAACTAACCACTAACATTAACTACGCAACCCTATTTCGTACACCTCTAGGCTAACCAATAAATTATTCACATACACAGCTTTTGTAATATATTTCATAATATAATTTATATTCTAATACCCTCTTTTGAAACTTATTTTTATATTCATTTATTTTTAATACAATAATTTTTAAAAACAATTCACATTATTATTAAATCGTATTTTTATAACAAACATTAAAACATACAACAACTTCACATATATTAACCAAAAACAAATTAATAATAACATTAACCTTAACTACTAAACAGTTTCCGTCCCATAACGATCTAAAATACTAATATAAACCGTAAATTTTTTCTAAACACATTGTAGCAAAATTAACTTTTGACTACTTGCCTGATGATTGTGGTAACACATGAAACTTTAAGTCGCAATATAATATTATAAATATTAGCATTTAGCTAATTCCTGATACTGCGGGTAACAGTAATATATATACTATATATATATATATATATATATATATATATATATATATATATATATATATATATATATATATATATATATATATATATATATATATATATATATATATATATATATATATGTATATATATATATATATATGTATGTATATATGTATATATATATATATATATACATATATATATATATATATATATATATATATATATATATATATATATATATATATATATATATATATATATTTGTATACATATTTATGCATAAGATATTAAGATATTTGATAAAATTATTTTCAAAAGTGAAAAATATCCGTCGCATATAAATGATTTCTAAATTGTTTAGGTGTTCAATGCTGCTATTCGATGGGTTTCACAAAATTCTCAACAGCGTAAAAAAGATTTACAATATTTATTACCATTAGTTAGGTTTAATTTCTTACCAAAAAGCTTTCTTAGCCTGCAATTAGAAACAAATGATCTAATTATGGATGACGAATTCTCTTTAAAATTACTTTTTGATGCTTTAAATGTAAGAATTATTTAATTAAGACTTTTTTCTTTAGTTTTTTGTTAGTTTATTTGCATGTCTTTGTAATTATGTTAATATGTATTTAAATTATTTAGTTATATTTTTAATTATGTTAATATCTATTTAAATTCCTGTTCTTAATGAAGACAGCTTTTCAGAAAAAAAAGGCAAAGTGAAAAATAAAAAAGCGATTTATTCCAAAATAAATGCTCTTACATTAATATTGTCTATCAAAACTTTCAGTTGATATATGTGCTATAGTCCCCAAAAACGGCTATTTCATCCGTATTTTCTCTAAAACACAAACTTTGATAAAGTTTAATCAATGTTTTAATTAATTTTTATTTTTTATTTTTTTTTTATTATTATTATCTTCGCTTCCAACAAGGTTGCAAGCAACCACTAATTTGTGTTGGAAGTTACTGGAAGAGAAAAGATGAAGATTGTAGAGCAAGATAACGATTGACAGACGACTTAAAAGATTGCAAATTATATGAATCAGGAAAGCAAGATGAAGGAAGCAAATTCCAAAGAAATGATGTTCGAGGAAAAAAACTAGACAAATAAGAGTTTTTGAAGCACTTAGGAACAGTAACAGAAAAACTATGAGACTTAATTGAATGACGAGTAACACGAAAATGAATTTTAGCAGATGGCACAAGAGACGCTAGCTCTTTAGAGCAGTGCCCATTATAGTATTTGTAGAAAAGAGAAAGAGAAGCAACATTACGACAATGTGACAGAGGTTGAAGGTTGGCTGCAAGAGCAGGTCCAAATATGTTTACAATGCGTTTTTGCACCTTGTCTAAAAGAGAAAGGGTATCATTAGAAGATCTGCCCCAGATATGGCAACAGTATTCCATACAAGGCCGGATTTGAGATTTATAGAGATAGAGAATAGAATCCAGAGTAAGAAAGTGACGAGCTCGATAAAGAGAAGCAACTTTAGCAGATGCTAATTTTGCAACGGATTTGATAAATGGTTTCTAAGAAAGATCAGAAGTAAGAGTTAATCCTAGAAAATGAAGGGTAAATAACTCATCAAGTACATTACCGTTCATAAATATAGGAAGGTCTAAATTATTGCGATAACGATTGGCCGAAAAAAATTGAGTTTTATCTGAATTAAAGTTCACCAGCCACTGTGAGCCCCATGCTGTAGCAGAAGTGAGATCCTTTTCAAGCTCAGATGCCCCCTGCAAGCAATCAGAGGGAGTTGGCTTCTTATTGTGACAAGAATAAATGGTAGTATCATCAGCGAACAATGCCACCTTAGATGTGAGAAAATCTGGAAGATCGTTAATGTAAATTAAAAAGAGTATAGGGCCAAGGATTGAACCTTGGGGAACCCCTGAGGTTACAGAATAAGAAGAAGAGTGCTGTTCATCAAGGACAACTTTTATACTACAATTGGAAAGAAAGGATTCAATAATCTTAAAGATGTTTCCAGATACACAGTAAGAAGAAAGCTTATGGAGGAGACCAGCATGCTAAACTTTATCAAACGCTTTAGAAATGTCAAGAGCAATGGCCTTAACCTCTCCACCTTTATCTAATGCGCGATAAAACCTATCGGTTATTACTGATAGCAAATCAGCCGTAGAACGAGAAGATCGAAATCCATATTGATGATCAGGAAGTAGGTTATGAGATTCGAGATTCGAGATTGTTTGTTAATTAAAGATTCAAAAACCTTGCTTATGATAGGAAGAAGACTAATGGGATGGTAGTTAGATGAATCAGATCGCTCTCCAGAATTTCTAAAAATAGGGATAACAGATACTGCTTTCCAGCAGGCTGGAAAACAAGACTCTGATAAGCACTTGTTAAATAGTTTTGAAAGGATAGACGACAGCTCTGGATAATACTTCTGCAAGACTATAACAGGTATGTTGTCTGGGCCACAAGCTGTAGAAGAGTCTAAGCAGGAAATAAATTTAGATACAGAGGCTGAAGTGATACGAATGTCAAACCTGTTTGACGGCTATATCAGGTAGAACGCAACTAGTGGCATCAAGAGATGATATTGATGAAAAGTTCTTGGCAAACAATTCAGCTTTGTCTTTAGGTGAAGTGACAAAGTCTGAACCATACATAAGAGGTGAAATTACATACTTGACTTATTTTATTGATACTGTTAAAGATTCTCCAGAAGTCACGAGAGCCTAATTTTTGTGATGAAATACGAGATTTCATGATCTGAGAATAGCAAGCTTTGGCGTTAGACAAAACCTTTTTACAATGGTTCCTAGCAGTAATAAACAGACGTCTGTTTTCTAGAGAATTGTTTTGCTCATAGATATGGAAGTAATGGTTTCGATTGGCAATTGCAGCAGCACAATGTGAGGAAAACCATGGAGAAGAGTGAGGCTTGAGCTGGAATCGTCGAGAGGGAATAAAGTATTCCATGCCAGCCTGAATCCACGACGTTATGTAAGAAGCACATTTGTCAACAGGAAGACGAAAGTTTTCTACCCAAAGGCCATAACGAAGAAAGTCACGAAAAGAGTCCCAGTCAGCTTTAAAGTAGTTGTAAGATGTACGATGATAGGGGGATTCTAATGGTAAGGAAGAATGAGATAATAGTTTTAGAGAGACCAAACCATGATCAGAAGCACCTAAGGGTGAGTGTGAAGAAACTGATCTAGACTAGGATCAGAAACAAGACATAAGTCAAGTAGAGAAGGTAAATGATTGGGGTTGTCTGGAAAGCGAGTTGGAAAGTTGACTATTTGAGTTAGGGACTGAGAAAGACAAAAGTTGTGGGCCTTAATGCCTGCAGAGTCACTGATACTAGAGCCAAGCCATTCAGTGTGATGAACATTAAAGTCACCGACAACAACAATATTGGCTGATGGATAAAGAATGAGGGCTTGGTCAATATAATCAGAAATAACATCAAGAAGAGTGCAGTCTTGAGATGAGGGAGAGCGATATAGAACAAAGAGAAAGGTGATAGAGTGAAGTGGTGCTAAACGAAAGCACATAAAAGAGTATTCTGTGGATTCAAACCTAGTTTCCCGACAAATTGGTGAATTCTTACGAATGTAAATTCCCAGGCTAAGCATGTGACTATTGGAATCTTTACGAGTTAAAGGAAGATAACCATCAACACTAAGATCGCAAGATGAGACAGCTGAACTCAAATTAGTCTCACAAAGAGCAAGCAGGTCTGGTGAACTTTGCAAGAGATAAGACTCTACAGAAGAAAAGTTACTTCGAAGACCACGAATCTTGGTGAATGATAGGTTTAGCGAACTTGGTGATGACTGTGGTTTTTTGTGTTGTTAGTTTTTGTTACTTTATTCATTTTTAAATTTGTTAAAGAACTTGACTCGAAACATAGATAGTACTCAGTACACTGTTCTATAGGTCAAGCAATTGCCTCATTTCCACTAATAAACCCTAAGCCGTAACAAAGGGCTCCAATGTGGCTTTGGCAATGCACACCAAAAGTACAAACAGGGACACCATCCATGCGCAACATGGCACTGTTAGTACTCTGATATTTTTCAGCTGTTGATGGAATCAGCCTCTCTGAGAGCTACCACAGAGTTCGGGAAACCTGACTACCAGCCGGCCTCAGAACTATAAAACTGAGTTTTAGAGCTGTACCCTCATTTGGAGATAATAGAATGAGTTGCCTAGTCATAAAAACAGAGACACAAGCAAAACCCATGAATCGAGTCAAGAAGATCCAGTGTTCAACATCCTAAACTGGAAACAATGTATTAAAAATACATCTGCGCCAGCCTAATAGATGACAAAGGGGTGTGAGGCTGGTCAACAGATAGAATCTGTTTACCCCTTAAGTCTTTGCCTAGGAGGCTTTCTACAAGACAGCAGCCGGATGCATGTAACATCTGCCCAAGATGAGTATTTTTATCAAGACACCATCTCTAGCCTTTACTCAACCAATAGCCCCAAGGCAGGGGGTGTTTTATGTCGGAATTTGCATCTCCTAGCCTTTGCCTAAAAAGGCATATCCTACAAGGCAGCAGGACATGAAGCAGATTGTACTGGGTTACATGTTACCAGTACCAGGATAAACCTGACCTGACCAGAATTGGGTTTTTTTATATCATTCAGGAATTTCTTTTCTCCTAGGTAAGTTGTCTTCACCATAGCTAAGGACCTGCCCCACAAGTAAGGTTACAAATTTACTAAAAACAAATATTATAAAAATCTGTATAAAAGTAAAGAAATGAGTTATTTAATCTTCTTGATTTTTTCCTAATTATTTCTTTTTTCCTAATTATTTTTAAAAAAAGGTTTGAAAAAAGAATTTAAAAATTTGAGGAATTTGATGAGAAATGAAAATATTCAAAAAATTTGATGAAATGTTTTAAAATTACTTAAGTTGTAGGTTGTATGAGTCTGGAAAGCATGAAAAAGAGAGAGAGTTCCCAATGGTTGAAATGCAGGAAAAAAAACTAGACAAATAAATGTTTTATTAAAATAACAAATAAAAGTTCTATATAACAAGTAAAAGTTCTATAAAAGTATATACAACGGTACAGTGTATATACATACAGTGTCGAATAAAAGATTTGGAGAATTAGATATTGGAATCAAGAGTAAGAAAATGGTGAGGATGAAGGAGAAGCAACCTGACCAAATGCTGACTTAGTAATTGTTTGTATATATGGTTTCCATGAGAGGTCAGTAGCGATTGATAATCCAAGAAGATGTAAAAAAGAGGACTCCGTGAGAGGGTTTCCACTAATTTATATAGGAATGTTGACAGTAATTGCAATAGTTGTTTGAAGTAAATAACTGAGTTTTTTTTCGGAGTTAGAGTTCATAAGCTACTACAATCTGATACAAATAAGAGATCAGATGCAAGATCAGCTGTCTGTTTTAAGCAAGCAAAAAAAAAAAAAAAAAAAAAATCGTAAAGATAGGAGTATAAAGTTGAGTCACTTTAGATGTAAGGTTGTCGAGAAGATCATTAATGCAGATAAGAAACAATAAATGACCATGGGTAGAACCCTTGAGGTACCCCGGAAGTTACTGGAAATGAAAAAGAGTGTTGGTCTTCAAGGATGACTGTTAGAACAAAATGAGTTAATAATCTCGAAAACTTTCCCAGATACACGTATACTAAAATTTTTTGATCAATTTTGGTACTAAAATAAAAATATTTTTTAATTTTTTATATATTTTTTTTATATTTATTTTATTTTCCAAATAAAAATTAAAAAAAAAAAAATCTCTTTTCTTTTTTTTAATTTTTCAAAATGCTTGAAAATACTTTAAGTAAATGATTAAAAAACTAAGTGACTTTATATTTTTAAAATCTACTTTTTTTAATTCAGAAAAATTATTGTTTTAAGGACTTATTTTTTTTAGCAAAGTTTGACCATTTTTAATAAAGGAAATCTCTTTTTTCAGAAAAAATCGTTTTTTCAGTGCAAAGTTTCATTTACACAACGCTTTCCACATTCTCTCTTAATAATTTTTTGTCCATCCATGACCAAAATTTATTAATGGGGTTCTGGTGGTTATGCTTGCCAAGATATAAGTGTAATATGTTGCCGTTGAAACCACTCTTTCACCAAGTTGACACTATGTTGTGTTGTCCTTTTGGAAAATCCAATTTTTATACCTACCAAAAAAATGATCTAGCAGTATTTAAAAGTTTGTTTTCTAATTTTTCTCTTTGTAATTATACTGGTTCTCTCTGAAAAGTATTTTAAAATTCTATTCCCTTCTGGGAAATGCAATTCCATATACCAATACCAATGCAGTTGCCACTGCCTTGTACTCTTGGTACACAAAATCTTTCCTTATATTTCTCTGAAGCTAATCTTTTAATGATAATTTTTGATTTATAATTAACTACCTCAAAATTTGATTCATTACCAAAAATGTCCTTAGACTAATCTTCAACTGACGAGTAAAGTCTTTACTTTCGCCACTTTTATCTTTTAATCCTATCTGTCACCCTTAAAAGCGGTATTCTAGCAGCAACATAATAATCAAAACCTTTTTTATTAAGACACCTAACTGTGCTATAAACTAGCACTAACATAACCAACCTTATTACTAAATTACGTTATCACTTCTTGGTTCCTAATTTTAGGATCTTCCCTTACCCTTCAATACAATAAGCTTTGATCCCTAGAATTAGGTTTTGAGAGCTTGTCAAATCTTAGTGAATCTTTTATGTAATTTGAAAGTTTGTAGTTTTTCAGCATTTTCAGCAGACACAGCATAGTAAAATACCACATAATCTGCTATTTCTAATTGACTTTGTGTTATCTTTGGATACCGACTATTTGCCATTTGACTTTTTTCTGATTCAGGTGTGCCATTTGCCAATTGAAATATATCTTGAAATGCAGGTTGAAAAAGGATTTTTTTTCGAATTTGTTATTTATATTGGTAAAAGCAGGTACAAATTTTCAAAATTCTTGTATAATTAATTTAGAAGTTATTAAGTTCAAATTAACTGACCTTATAATTTTGACACATTTTTTTTAAGTAATTAATAGGGTTGCATAACACCAAAAGTGTTAAGTGTTATATCAAAGGTGTTATATCATAACACTTTTGATATAGCACTTAACACTTTTGGTGTTTATAATATATAAATTACAAAAAAATTCAAAAACACTTTTGGTGTTAATATATAAATTACAAATAAATTCAAAAAAAAAATCCTTTTCCAACCAGCATTTCAAGATATTTTAATTGGCAAATGGCACTTAACAAAGCTTATTTGTTAGTTAAATGTTAATTAAATTTTTTGTTGGCTATTTAGTTATCTTTTAATTAGTTTTTTTTATGGCTGTTTAGTTATCTCTTAATTATTTTTGATAGCTTTTGACCACAGTTTAACAGCTGTTAGCACTACAATCTAGATGTTTGACAATGGATGAAGAACTTGCTGATCGAAGTCAGGCACAAATAAATACTCAAAGTTTTGCAACGAAATTGCAGAAGATTGAGCATCATTTGTGCCTGAACTTTTAGTAATTAAAGTTATCTGGACCATCAAGATTGAATTTTTCATCGGACCACACAATTTTTCGCTATCTTTTTTTCCCAAGTCATGTGGTCCTTGGCCTATTGTAGACAAATCCGCTTGTGCGCTTCAGTTAGTGCTGGAGATGTGTGTTTTTTTGCATATCTAAGAATGCCTGACTTGCAGTTGCACGATTCACCATCTATCTTGAGCATTTCAATCTCAAATCAGCAGAGATTTGGGATTTGTCTCGCAGAGGTTGTACGGTTACTAGTGGCATGCACAATTTATCGCTGTTTGCGAGCTGTATAGGTTTTCTACCACTTTGATGCTTCATGCAATAATTTGTTAGATCATTTATGAAATTGTTGATCAAACATGGTGAGCGTCTCAGTTTGCAAACTCCCTATTTGATAAATGCAATGACTTGTAGGCTTTGATCTTGCCTTCATCAGAGAGTGTTATTCCTCTTGGCATTCATTAGAATGTATTTCATAATTTGAAAATGTAATAAATTTAATTTGAAAATGGAATTTACTACTTTTTTTGATGGCTTTTGATACAATTTATATATATATATATATATATATATATATATACACATATACATATATATATATATACATATATACATATATATACACATATACATATATAAAGGCGTGCCGTCGCACGCCTTGTTTGTCCACGCATAGAATAAGTTTTTCAGAAAACGTGACTGCGGCAATATTTCGTGTGAAAGCGGAAATTATTCACAGAGAATAAAAAATAATATTAAAAAAAAGAAACGAAGTCTAAACAAAGTATAAAATTGAAATTGGATGTAAGAAAAATATTTTAATAATAAAAAAAAAAAATTAAAAAAAAAAAAAATTCTTGTAACAAAAAAAAAAAGTCTTGACATTTTTTTCAAACTTTTTATACTGTTTTTGTTTGCTTTTTTAAGGGTTACTATTTTCAGCTATGAAATTTGATACAAGTCAAGGGAAAGACGACGATAAGTCGTAAAGTTTTAATGAAAATAAAAAGACTTGATACGTAATTTACTCACGAATTTTATCAGACAATGTATTAAAAAACTGATTCATTATTTACGCTAGACAAATTTGGTTAAACTTTTTCATTTATTTTTACAAAAGTTTATGTAAAAGCGTTGACTTTATTCACCAATACTTTGACAAGAAAATAAGTTGCTGTTTTAATTATTAAATATATTATTTCAGATTTTAAACATACCAAAATTTTAATGTAAAAAAAGTTCTTTCTCGACTTATTCTAAACTGATTATACTAAGCCAATGCTCGCCTTTTATTACGTTGAAATTATTCAATTGCATAATTTTGTAATTACGAAAGAAGTTAAAAAAATAGTTGCTTTGCTTCTGTTGTCATTGTTACGAAAACAGTTCCTTCGGGACATTATTATATATTAACACTCGTTCACAATGTCAATTAATGATTGCAAAATAAACAACTCAATTGTTTGACAATAAAATTTTCTTTCGTTTAAAAAAAACAACTACATATTTTACTAATAAATAGCAATCGTTTTCGTGTTTTCTTGCGTATCAATACATTCAAACATTTAAATCAATACACTTAAACATTTAAATGTATTTACGAAACATTTAAAAATTGTTTATAGTTCTATCGTGAATTTTAAAGTATTACTGACTGATAAAAGTCATAAACAAATTTACATTAAAAGGTCATTTTATTTTCTTTAAACATTAATCTTTTTCTCTTTGATTTGATTTTTCTTATTGATTTGATTTTTCATAGCTAAAATAACTACCACCCTAAAAAAATAAATAAATAAATAGTAGGTAAATTTTTTTTTAATAATATACATTTTTTAATTTTAAAGCACAAACAGATTTCTGTTATTTACTTTAAGATTGCTTGCATTTTTGCGGTATTTTCGTTTAGCTTTGTTTTGGCGCGAATTCTTGAAACACATAATAATAAAATGTGGTCAGTTAGTCAGAAAAATTTATTCTATGCGTGGACAAATAAGGCGTGCTACCGCACGCCTTTCCTGGGAAAGCCTGATATATATATATATATATCTGTGTGTGTGTGTGTGTGTATATATATATATATATATATATATATATATATATATATATATATATATATATATATATATATATATATATATATTGTATTATTATATATGCTCTAGGATATTGAAGTTAAGCAATTAGTAGCGACAAAAAGGAAGCCAATTGGAAATAATGTTGTTTTTTATATGGGTGGGTATAATCGAAAATCTTTTGCATCTTATGGTTATTTTAACCCTGAAACAGAAACATGGTTTAAACTGGGTGATATGTGTTCACCCCGAAGTGGAGCTGGCTGTGTCTCTCTTGGTTAGTTCTCAGTTACTTTCTTCATTTTCAAATTTGGAAAATCTGAAGCCATTAAATTTTATTAAATTTAAACAAAGGTGGTTTAATTTATATGGTTGGAGGACGTACAAATTCTTTACAAGGAAAATCTGATTCAAACAGTGTTGAGTGTTATGATCCATACTCACAAGAATGGAAAAATATTGCGTCACTAAATTCATCAAGACATCGATTAGGTGTGGCTGCTGTTGATGGTGTTATATATGCCTTTGGCGGTAGTGATGGAATGGTTCATTTAAATACAGTTGAAAAATATGACAGTGAGAAAAATCTTTGGGAACCAGCTCCATCAATGAACACTCCACGAATAGGTAAAAATACTGTTACTAGCAAAAAACTTTTGATTTGTAATTTATTTTAATTTTAAGTTGAAAACTGAATGAATACATTCAATATGTTAACTAAAGCGCATGCAAACATATGTTAAGACGGTTTATTATAAGAGTTAAATGTTTATTATTAGAATTTTAATTAAAATTATGTTTATTACTAGAGATTTATTCCTTAACAAAACATGAGTTTTGTTTAAGAATTAAAAGAAAAAAGTTAATAATACAATTTTAAAATTATTTAATTTTTTTTTTACTTTTTTTATTTAAGCGTCAATAATTTATAGATTTTTTTGTGGGTGGCCATTACATTAGGAACAATGATAATTATAAATGAATTTTTAAGCAAAATGAAAAGCAACAGTACAATTCTTTTATTCACAAAGTAATACTTGGTAAAATATAAACCAAAAAAATTCAAACATTTTGAATATTTATTAGTTATTACAACAAGTATATGTAATATATATATTTAAAGTATCAATATTTTGTAAAACCACCTTTATTTGCAAAAACTGCTTAATGTGTCAAGACTTGCAAATGACTTTTTAATAGTTTCTGTTAACTCTGGGTATTGTGCAAGATTCTGATAATCATTTCCATAAGACCTTAATTTCTTTTCCAATCTTTTGCTTTACTAGTTCCCAAATATTTTCTTTGGGGTTGAGATCTGATGAATTGCCTGGTCATGACAATAGATCGATTTTTCCCTGTTTTATATAAGCTATAACACTTTTTGCTGTTTAGCAAGTTGTACCATCTTGCATAAATAAAAGATTTCTGATATTTTTAGACCAATCTACCATTGAAAATGGTCTCAACTGATTCTCCAAAACTTCTTTATACTGGTCCTGCCTCATTTTCTCAACCACTTAAAAAAGACCTGCTTACAAATATTAAAAAGATTACTGACTGTGGATGCTTGACTGTTTTCACAATCTAGTCAAGATAAAACTTTATATCAGCTTTTGTCCATCGTTACAATGGACAAAAGCTGTTTTGTCCATCCTTACTCGAAAGGTTGACTTATCTGAGAAGCAAACCTAAAATAATGGTTATTTTAAGTTAAAATATTTATAAAATATTTTAAAATAAATTATGAATAATAATGTGAATAAAAATACCTTTTGCCAGATTCTTTTCCCAAAAACCCGATATTCCAGATAATTTGGTCTGCATTTGGTGTTGTTTTTGCTTTAGAAAATGGTTTTCTTACTCCAAACTCTTCTCCAGTATCAATTTTTTTTTCTCTTTCACATTATGGTTTGGTGAGAAATCTTTACAATGTGTGCAATTTTTCATTGAGAATATTGTGTATTCTGTAAACGACTAAATCTAATTTGAATAATTTTTGTTAATGGCATATCACATTTTTTCCACATAGCTAAAAATTTAAATTTAGAACTTCAAAAAATGAAAAGACTCTTTACTTAAACATTAAAAATATCTTTTCATTTTTCCAAAAAAAAATTGATACTGGAGAAGAGTTTGTAGTAAGAAGACCATTTTCTAAAGCAAAAGCAATACCAAGTGCAGACCAAAAGACTCTTTACTTAAACATTAAAAATCTTTTATTTAATCACTGAAATTATTTTATCTAATAATAATAATTATTATTATCTAATCACTGAAAAAGTTAATGAAACAAAGCACTCAAGAATTAAACTAAATCACATTGAAAGTTCAATCAAACTAACACATAAAAATAACCTCAAATTGTCCAAAATGCACAAAATTGGCTATGGCAGGTTATTGATGACAGCCAGAATTTCTAGTTGATAAAATTTTTATTAAACTTTTTACTAAAAATG